TGAATTTTGGGCTTTTTCCTCGGCTTGTTTTCATAACGTTTGCATGCTTTGTTAATTTACTCTCATTCAATACATATATATATATATATACATATATATATATGTAACACAACTAATATTTTAACATTATATTTAACACCCAAGTTAAGTCACAACACATATTTATAATTAGGTTGACGGCGAAGATGTGCTGGATGGTGCTAAGCTCAACCGGAGGTCAACTACATCTCCTCCATTTACATTGTTCGACGTAGCCGGAGTTTGACATGGTAAACCAGCCAACCCATAACTCGAATAATCGAACGGTCCTGATCGAGTTGCAATACAGGCCGTCCGATGCTTGCTATAGAAGTAATGACCCTTTCTTGGCCGCCGTTCTCTCCTGTGAGCGTTTTGATGGCCGCCCAACGCTTGAGAATTGGCAAATTCACGGTGGCAGTACTGGCACTCGAACCTCCTAATGGTGTCTCCGCCGTGTTGGGCTGTCACCCGTGCATCCTCACAGGCCGTCACTGGAAAACCAAATAACTTCAACACTGGATTACCACTTGGCTTCTCGCTGTTAATATACCCATCACCGTTGATGCTCCCTTGCTCTACTGCATTATGATCAGTACTCATTAGATTGAAACATAGAATGGGTGACTTACCATACCCATAAACACACACACACATATATACACACACACACACACGGCAAAGAAAATGACAGAAATACCCTTGAAGTGATATGTTAAAAGTTTGCCACTTTAAATCAAATCAGTCTAGGAATAAGGTAGCATATTACATAAATTATTCTTGATCATTGATGGTGCTAGGAAGAAGAAATAAAATCTGTTTCTTTGTAATACCTGTCTTCAGAAGATGTGGGTTCTTTATGCATAACCATCTTGGAATTGATTGTATTATACATCAAAATATAAGAGTATCAAGCTAAGACAATGATAGCATTATGAAGAAAAAGTAAATTAAAGCATCAATTCATTGGGTTTCTTAAGAGATTTAACCAATATTCTTATTATTCTTGACCAATAAACTTTTCCCACTAAAAAGATCTGGATCATCGCTTTGTCTATGATTAGATTTAGATGATAAAAGAAATGGCCAGACCGAACAGATGATGCTTAGGGAGTGTCGGCCAGTAGTGGAGTTTCATGTCGATGTAGACAACATAGCAGTGTTGTATGCCTAGAGATTAAAAATCCTACTAACTCTGGTATTGACATGAAGAGCATTAATTTCCCAAGACCTAGAACTCATTTAACTTCATCCATATACTCTTCAATAACTTCCATGATTCAGTACCACTGAAAGTGCTTGAGCAAAGAGATATTTTGCAAGATACTTCAACAGCTAACATGATTTAGAGTATATACCTCCACTTATCATGATCACCATTAACTAGATCTTGTTTGTTTGAGGATTGAGGTCATGGTTGGTACTTTTATTTTGTTTAGCTAATTATAGGTGAAGTTGAAAATATTTTTTAAAGTAAATTTATGATTTAATAAAATTTAAATAATAATAATAATAATAATGAGCATATACTTTGAGGTTTCTGTATTAATAGATGTTTTGCAACTTATTATAATGTTGGAACATAAATAATAAGTTGAATCCTTTATTACTAGCTTGAGGTTTTAAGAAAATTGGTAACTCAATCTAGTATCTAATATGGTATTATCCTTATTTTTTGCTCCATACTTCTCCTATTTATCAGTATCTCGCATCCTTAATGATCACACGCGATGGGAAAACTTGATATTATCAAAATTAGGGATTCTGTAACTAAAACTAAAGAAAAGTCAGTATGTGTTTATCAATTATATATCTAATTGACAAGCATGTCCTGATATGTCATTGATTTCTTCTACATCTAAAGTAATTTCAGAGTTTCCTCCTTTCATGAGAGGTTCACCACAGAACTGTAAATGTTGATTTTTCTGTAGGTCATAAATGACAGATACTCAATAATCGGAGCAACAGGAACCTAGAAAGTCTGAGAAAGGCACAAATCTTTGCTTTGAAGGATCTCCTATTTCTTCACATCTTCTTTGTTTTTCCCCTTCTTTTATTCTTTTTAATCTCATTTCTCTATCTACTCCCATTCTAGGACTGCTAATTCTTTGGAATCACGCATCAAAGAATAAAAATATTTGAAAAAGAACAATTCAACATGATAGCAGAGCAACAGAATATGCAGATGATGGTGGCTCAAAGTTCTTAAGTGAACAAATGGAACCTTTAAAGCTTCTGCTCACATAAGGGAATCAGTAATGATGGATCATCAGCCAGCTGTATGTAAAGATTATAAACAGACTACCTACCGCTGATATGGAAATGATTGCATGTTTAAGCAATATAATGGCAGTTAGAGAGAAGTCATGAAGCAGAGAAGATAGCAAAGAAGTTTGGCTATCCGGAGGTGATGAGGGTGCAGAACAGAGTGACGAAGATGATGATGATTCTTTGCCCTGTTACTTATTTCATTTGCAGGCAGCCTTTTTGGATCCTGTAGTGACTACTTCATCACACTTCAAAGATAAGCACTTCCTAAACTAAAATTGATTAGCAGATTAAAAAAAGGGATGACAGAAAATTAAATCCACAAAGCAACCAAAAAAAGAAAGCCCAGCAATCAAAATATTGCTAAAATGGATCACCAACTAAACTTACAATCAGAAAATGTTTACATAAAAAGCACACAACCACATTTTACCAAAATCAAATAGCGAAAACAAACTCCAAATTGAGTATGTCAGCACTCGAATTAAACACGGTCATATTATAGCTATTACATGCAAAGTAAAAAAGGGGCTAGTAATCTAACCAATATGGTAAAGACAAAGAAAAGCCAAAATAAGAAGCTAGTTTATCACAAAACTAATCCATATGCCAGTGCAAAAACGTAACATGACAGTATTCAAGACAAGTGAGCAACCTTCAAACAGAATGTATTATCAAGTTTATGAATGTCACAACTTCACACCATGTTGCTCCAAAAACTTAATAAGAAACATCATGTTCTGAAAGAAAAGAGAAAGTCTCCACTAATCCATTCATGCGCAAGAAAATAAGAATTAGTCTATGTTTAGAGACGCGAGACCAAAATTATATAGATTGGATCAGTACTTATTTTTGTGTTTATTTGCTAATCTGTGGTGCAACTAAGATTATTAGAAGTGGACAAAATCAAATGCATGAAAATGAAACTAAGAAGAAGGAAATAAACAATATCAAGGATTCCTTCCCTACAACTTTTTATCCTTAATCTCCATTAGCATATCAGATAGCCAAACCTTCATAAATTCTACATAACTGAAGACTGTGAAGCAGTTTTTAACCATGGACAACTATTTTTACAGCTTCAAAGAAACTTTAAAGAAATCTATATTGAATCTATTACTACATTCTTTTTGTTTTTTCCTTCTGCTTATGGCTCCATTTTCCGTGACAAACTTCAAAGAACTTTATAGTAGGTAGCTCATGTTTTAACTATGATCTAAGTTGATTTTGCAGGAGCCAAATCCTTCTCTGGTGGATTTCATCGTCCATCCTCAATGAAATGCAGTTTCTCACTCAGAAAAAAAAAAAAGGACTCCACATTGAAGTTCATATCTTCAACGAACAAATGATGAATAACTAGTTCTTCCGAACATAGCTTAATTTAAAACTTTACCAACTCATATCCAAATTTTAGTCCCGTCCATTGGCAATATCCCGGCATAAAAAGGGACAAACGCTAGAATATCGAGCAATTTGAATAATGGAGCATAGAGAGGCATGAAATCAAATTAGAAACTCAAAAGAATCATACAAACTTAACAGATAAACAATCCGAAAACGAATTGAAATCAACAGAAGAAGCGAAACATAGTTCAATCCAGAAACAGTCCCTGGAAAATACATGACAAACAGCGCTCAGTGGCAAAATAGCAAAATTTCGGGAGATCAGAGCGTTACCTGCTTGCTCCTTCAAGAAAGCCGAGCGGTTTGCGAGGTCTGCTCGAGCTAGGCACGCAGACTTTGATGGATGGTGAAAAAGCCGGTCTGCGATTAAAGGCTTTGGCGGGAAAATATTTTATCATTATTATTTTTTTATCGTATTATTGTTAAATTTTATGATATTTTCTAATATATATTTATTGAATAAATTATTAAATTAATTCTCAAATTTTAATTTTTATTATAATTTAATTCTTAATATTTTTTTTGTATGAAATTATTAATAAAAAATTAAAATAATTAAATTATATTTTAATATTTTAAAAAGTGATTTGAAAAATAATTTTAATTAATTAATAAATTCATTAATTAGTACTAAACTAATATTTACAGAACCAACGAACAATCAATTCCCCTGTTGTGAACTCAAGCCATCCGACTGAGCAGCTCAGAACCATGGAATCTTTCGCCTTTAAGCAACCTTTCCTCCAAGCAATTCTCCTCTCACTAGAATCCCTCTTTCATCTTCATCATGAGTCAGCTTCACCCAGAAAGATATCTCAATGCCGAAAACAATGGCAGTAACTCACGCCGATCTCGCTCCCACTCGCCGGAGCACCGACCTCGGCAGCAAAACGGGGACTCTTCTCATCATCTTCACCATTCTCTCCGGCGTCCTCTGCTTCGTCCTTTGCCTCATAGCCGAAGCCACCAGGTCCCAGGTAGTTATATACACACACTGTATATTTAATTAATAACACCTTCTGTACATATAGCGTCGATTTAGAAGCGGAGATAAAAAGCCGGTGGTTGTTGTAGGCAACATGGGAAAGAAATGGCGGGAAACACGAGTGTATTTACGGTGGAAGCGGGAAGACGCCATTGTTGTGTGGCGCGGTGGCGTTCGTGGGATTAGCAGTTTCCATGGTGGTGGAACATGTTTATATGTTAATTGCTATTGCCAAATCGCCGCCTGCTGCTCTGTTTCCCTCCGAAAACGACGTCGTATTTCGCGGCTCTGGTACCGTCAGGGCTCTTTCTCTGCAGGCTGCCTTCTTCTTCTTCTCCACTTGGTATGTCCCCCAACGACAACACGCCATCAGTTCGGCAAGTGATTAGTAATTTTAACTTTTTTGTAATTGATTTAATATAATTTTGTTGATGAATTTATAGGATTTGTTTTGGGGTTGGAGAGATATTGTTGTTGATCGGATTGAGTGTGGAGTCAGGGCATTTGAACAAATGGGACAGGCCAAGACCCGGTTGCTTGGCAATCAAGCAAGGCTTGTTCTCGGCGGCCGGAGTTTTTTCTCTGCTAACGGTTTCTCTCGGCGCCGGTCTATACTTCACTGCACTACGCGCACAAAGATTGTCACGGCAAATGGAAACCGTAAGGAATGAAGTGTTAGAAGCCTCTGTCCTCTATGCATCTCCCCCGACATCACCGGCAATTCGAATCGAGGCCGCTCCGAGGGAAAACCCGATACTTCGAGATCGAGAATTGCCTCCGTTGATTTTTAGCAAGGAAACAAATACGATTTCAATGCAATAGTATCGTTAAATTTTTTTTAATACAACGTAATATATGTAAATCTCGTACCATATAAAAATATATTTATTTTACGACGAGTACGAAGGTTCATTCGACACTCTTTAAATTGATACGGGTTGAATTTGAATTTTTCATATATTATGTTTAAATCAATTAACATAAATATGAAAATTGTGATTTCAATTTAAGAAAAAAAATTAAATTTATATTCAAATTAATTACATATTATCAAATAAAAAATATATTCAAAAAAATTTGACCGTTTGATTAAAATATTATTAAATTTAATATAGATTATATATTAAAAAAATTAAGTTCGACTAAATTTATATTGTAAATAAATATTAATATAATTATAAAAAATAATTGTCACGTTTTATTTTTAAGTAAAAACTATAATTTTGTTAGTAGTTTAATTTTAAATTACCGTTTTAAATAAAATTAAAATTAAAATTAAAAAAAAAATAAAAAATCAGCCCTCCTTAAAATAAAAATCAAAACCCTTCCCATGGAAGTTTCACATTTCGCTTTTTTCCCTCTCCAGTTTCGATTCTGAAAATCTCAATCAAATCTCTAGGGTTTTTCTTCTCTCCATTAAACTGCCATCGATCAGGAATCTCGATCGAATCGCAGAGCCGGCTTTAAAACAGGAAACAGTTTGATTATCGTTTTATCGTTAAGCGAAGGAGCCATGTCGCTGAGACCGAGTGCCCGGACGGAGGTTCGCCGGAACAGGTATAAAGTTGCTGTCGATGCGGAGGAAGGCCGCAGGAGGAGAGAGGACAACATGGTCGAGATCCGAAAAAGTAAGCGCGAAGAGAGCTTGCAAAAGAAACGACGGGAGGGTCTTCAGGCTCAGCAATTCCCTCCTTCTGCTCTTCACTCCTCTGCCGTCGAGAAGAAGGTCCTCTGTACTGAATTTTTTTTCTTATTGGTCTATATTTCTATACATGTGTATATACGTGTTATAGTGTACTATCGTTGGATTAGGGTTAGGGTTTGGGTTTGTTGGTGTGGAGGATTAGGCGATGATTGATATGTGCATATCTTTTAAATTTTGCAGTTAGAGAGTCTGCCTTCAATGATTGCTGGGGTTTGGTCTGACAACAGTACTGTGCAGCTCGAAGCCACTACTCAGTTCCGAAAGCTGCTCTCTATTGGTATTTCTAATTTATCTTTTTTTTTTTTTCTGTCGCTCTATCTTATCCCCTTTAAAGCCCATAAATGCATTATGACTTGTGATTGTTGTTGTTATTAGAGCGAAGTCCTCCAATTGAGGAAGTGATACAGTCTGGCGTTGTTCCTCGGTTTGTTGAATTTCTTATGAGGGAAGATTTTCCTCAGCTTCAGGTCTGAATGCATGATTGTTCCGCCTTTTTCTTTTATGTCAATGAGGTCCTAATATGATGACATTGGGATTTCTTATAGTTTGAGGCTGCTTGGGCACTTACGAATATTGCTTCTGGGACCTCCGAGAACACCAAGGTGGTGATTGATCATGGTGCTGTTCCAATATTCGTTAAGCTTCTTGGTTCTCCCAGTGATGATGTTAGAGAGCAGGTATACTGCTTGGAAATTTTCTCACCTGATTACTGCAATTGCGTATATTTGCTTGGGATCACTGGGAAGGAGAAATTGATATTTTTTCAATGTTGCAGGCTGTGTGGGCTTTGGGAAATGTTGCTGGTGATTCGCCAAGATGCCGTGATCTTGTCCTCAACCATGGGGCTTTGATTCCTCTGTTGTCGCAGTTAAATGAGCATGCAAAGCTATCAATGCTGAGAAATGCCACTTGGACATTATCAAACTTCTGCAGGGGCAAGCCTCAACCTCCTTTTGATCAGGTTGCTATCTTGTTTTTGTGTTTTCATCTATTTTGTAAAGGTGCTTACCTGATCATTCTTTGGATTTATTAACTTCTGAAATCTTATGGACAGGTGAGGCCAGCTCTTCCAGCACTTGAACGACTTGTTCATTCAAACGACGAAGAAGTTTTGACTGATGCCTGCTGGGCACTATCCTATCTGTCTGATGGTACAAATGACAAAATTCAAGCTGTCATTGAAGCAGGCGTTTGCCCCAGACTTGTGGAGCTCCTCCTGTGAGTATCTTTCATATGATGGACTCTTGTTTCTGTTCTCATGTGCAGTCAAGAACCCTGACAATTGCTTCTTGTAACAGTCATCCGTCTCCTTCTGTCCTCATTCCTGCTCTTCGTACGGTTGGAAATATTGTCACGGGAGATGATATGCAGACTCAGGTACGGGTTTTCTGAAGAGCTCCTGTGGGTAGAGTAATTATTTCCATATTTTAACAGAGGTTTCATTTCCTTTTTAATGGGCATGGTTGGAAGTCTGCCAAACAAGGATTCTCTTTTCAGAGACATGTGTCTTTTGATTTAATTGTTTAAATAGTTACAACAAATTAAATAGTTATACGAGTCTATGTGTTTAGTGCTTTTTTCAATGGTCATTATGTTTTGTGTTGGATTCCTCTACAGTGTATCATTAATCATGGCGCACTTCCTTGCCTTCTGAGCCTGCTGACCCACAATCATAAAAAGAGCATTAAAAAGGAAGCATGCTGGACCATCTCAAACATCACTGCTGGAAACCGGGAACAAATTCAGGTGAGTTGAATGATTAGGAAAGGATATACTGGATTTCAAGTCCTGTTTATTAGTCGTTTGTAGGCGTGATTGGATTTATAGTGTAGTTAGCATTTGACACCTTGGAGGCGTTTATGGAATCAAAAAAAGCTGCCATTTTCTGTACCAGTTGCTTTGGTTTTTCACAAATATAGGTTTTCCTAATGATGTTGGTTGATGTTTTAATTTACTTGTTTGTCTTTTGAACTGTCATAGTCTGTAATTGATGCTGGTTTGATTGGCCCCTTGATCATCCTGCTTCAAAGTGCTGAATTTGATATAAAGAAAGAGGCTGCATGGGCAATCTCAAATGCTACTTCAGGCGGTACTCGTGAGCAAATTAAGTACGTTTGTTATTTGTTTTCTGTTAGCTTCCTAGTTTCATTATTGTAGAATCGAGTATTAATAATCTCTTTTACAAATAATAGGTACTTGGTGGAGCAGGGCTGCATAAAACCACTGTGTGATCTCCTTGTATGCCCAGACCCAAGGATTATCACTGTTTGTCTTGAAGGACTGGAGAACATTCTGAAGATTGGGGAGACTGAGAAGACTTTGGGTAACACTGGAGATGTCAATTATTATGCTCAGCTGATAGATGATGCTGAGGGATTAGAAAAAATTGAGAATCTCCAGAGTCATGACAACAATGAGATCTATGAGAAGGCAGTTAAGATTCTCGAGACGTACTGGTTAGAGGAGGAGGATGACACTTTACCTGCAGGGGATGGTTCCCAGCCAGGCTTCCAGTTTGGTGGGAATGAGCTTCCAGTTCCATCCGGTGGATTCAACTTTAGCTGAAGGTAATCCGTGCGTTTAATATTGGATTCAGATCAAGGTTTTGCATCCAAAAGGATTCTGCATTTGGAAACTAATTCTGGATAGTTTACCCAGCTGCAGGGATATAGTTATGGATGGATAGAGCTGAAGTTCATGCAGCAGACGAGGTGGTATAATTGGGGGTAGAGTCGGGTATGGGTCTTCGCACCTTTGAATGTGTCTGGTTATAGTCTGGTCCAGTGTCCCTCGTTGTCAAAGAGGTGCCTAGGCAGTTCAGTTTGTACTATGGTGTCCAAAATAAGGAACGGGGCTGGTGGGTGAAGTTTGTGACAGGACGGGGGTGGTCAAAGGTGTTGGTGATTCCTCGATGTGCGGAATCACCACGCAATGCAAACAGAAGTGTCCGGGGGAGTTATAGCTGCACAAGCAGGATATCGGGTGTGGTGTGGTAAGGGTCGCTTAAAATGCTATGGTATTGTTTTTGAGTCTCGGTTGAACTAGTAGTGTCATTCTATGAGATAATTTGATTTGTATTGCAACGGTGAATATAGTCTTTGATAAAACCTCATGATATGTGGGAAGAGAAAGAAAGGATTTGTTTTTTTTTTTTTTACCTTCCTCTGGGTTTTTAAATACGATAAGGTTATAATTATACCTTTGAAAGCTTAAAATTCTGAGTTCAGGAAAGTGATTTGGATGAAGGCTGCAATATTTCTTTCTTTCCCAGCACTCTATACGGACACTTTGTGTTCCAAAGTACTGGGTTGAAGGGATCAGTTGCTGTGTATGTATGTATGTATAGATATGGTTTTTGATTTATTTTGTCAACAGGTTTACAGGAGAAGTATGTATGAGAACCTGACAAACAGAGCAATTAATGCACACAGCCGTAGAGAAAAGAATGCACGGGTTCAGCGTGATCGTTGAGGTTTCTATTTTAATATCATACCTCTTTGTTTCCTACTTTTTAAAATGACTCTTTTTTTTTTATTAATTTAATTACCTGACTAAATAATTATATAACATTGATGACACTATTACACACAAATCTTATATATATATATATATATATATTAAATTAGTTTTTTGTTTGAAAGAACTTAACTGCAAGAAATGTGTTTTAATTTATCGTGATTGTTTTAATTAAAAAATATTTAGTCGACATAATGTTTATTTCTTATAATATGCTTATTAAGTAGCGAATTATGTTTTTATTTATGTTTAAATTTATAATTTTTAAGTACAATATAATAGTTTTAACTACCATTTTGTTGCATCGATGGTAATCAAAATCGATTAGAATGTCGAGTTCTGTAGTATCATTCTGTAGATGAATAGCATTCTCGCGATGCAGTTACTCGTTAAGGAGGATTACGGTGCTAATGTGCATGCCGCCCTCGTTCGTGCGATGAAGCACTTGCTGCTGCAAAATTAGTAGTTTCGGATTCAACGTACCTATCGCGAAGGGAATAAATGTAATGACTGATTGGCGAATGCCGACTTCTCTGTGACTGTGCACCTTCATTCTCGTGTTCAAGTAACAAATAATCTCTAATAATTCTTCACTGACGGTATCATAGATATTTTTTAACTCAGAATGTGTACGACAACCTTTTAGTTTCTTTTGACTTTTATCTCTCATTATATTTAAAGAATACATAATAAGATGAGTAAAAGGACAACTATATATAACTGTATTTTTAAAAATAATTATGTAACCAGGACACAAAATTGAGGACACTATCACACACTACAGACATGTTGGATTCGAAACTTACTACTGCAGAATTAGTAGTTTCGGATCCAACGTATCTATCACGAATGGAATAAATGTACTGACTGATTGGCGAATGCCAACTTCTCTGTGACTGTAGACATTCATTCTCGTGTTCAAGTAACAAATGATCTCTAACAATTATTCACTAACGGTATCATGGACAATCTCTTGACTCATAATGTGCACGACAACCTCTTAGTTTCTTTTGACTTTTATCTCTCATTGTATTCAAAAAATAAATAATGAGGTGAGTAAAATGACAACTATATATAACTGTATTTTTAAAAATAATTACGTAACCAGGACACAACACTGACGACGCTATCACACACTACAGACATGTTGGATCCGAAACTTGCTACTGCAGAATTGGTAGTTTCGGATCCAACGTATCTATCGCGAAGGAAATAAATATACTGATTGATTAGCGAATACCGACTTCTCTCTGACTGTGAACATTCGTTTTCGTATTTAAGTAACAAATGATCTCTAACAATTCTTAACTGACGGTATTATGGACAATCTCTTGACTCTTAATGTGCGTACGATTTTATCTCTCGTTGTATTAAATAAAAAAAAATAAAATTTGAATTTGAAAGTAACAATGAGTTGGACGATATTACCCCAATAATTATTACCGCAGTAAAAAGATAAAAAGAGTGAATTAGTAACCACCGTAATTTGACATTTTACTCCCCGTACTTTTTTACCCTTCTCTCTCTAACTACGCTCTGCCCGGTCAACCTTTGGCTCTCGACATCACCATGACAAAAATATACCACTTTAGGAAAGAATGGGAATTTAATTAAATTTTTAATTTTACTTGCAAATTAAATGGATGATTAATTAATTACCACGGTACTTAAACTAATTAATTAATTAATTAAGAAAAGTAAATGTGGTCCACGATCTTGATAGATCTTTGGGACAATCAATGGAGGTGTTGCTGTGTGCTTTCATTTTCTTTCACTGTCTTGTAATATCTGGTGGATTTTTGTCTCTGCCTGTGACCATATATACATATACATACATACATATACATATACATATATTATTACGTATATGTATCAGTTTTTTTACTGTGATAAAATGCTTCTCTGTGTAAATTTTTTTTTTACAGATTACTTTATAAACTTTTAACCATACGACAATTCAGTAAATTAGATATATTTGAGCTTCAAACATTTCGGATCTGTCACGTAATTCATAAGAATCATTAATCTTAAAAGTTATTTTCACCAAAATATGTAAACTCGTCGGTGATATAACCAATACAAGAATTTGGGAGGATATTGGATTCCTTCTAGATTTATTCTCCAAACATATAAAGATTTCTAATTATATTTTAGTCAACGAATTAATCGAGCAATCAACTGAGCAGTAGAACATATAACAAAGTAAGATAGTTTTTTCTCGAGAATACTATTCACTAAATTACGAAAATAAAGTTGTGTGAAGATTTGTCAAAAGAACAAAAACTACGTTGTTAAATTTAGTTATTCAACTCTCACAGAAATTCATTAAAAATTTTTATGAAAATGTAAGATTTTATAATAGAATAAAATCGTACGACAATAGATATTAAAAAAATATATAATTTAGGTTACTGTTTTTGGTAAATTTTATTTTTATATATAATAATAAAAGAACAAGATTATAATATATTAAATTAACTTTGTAAATGGTACGTTTAAATTTAACTTAAAAATTTACGTATTAACTTAGAAAACGATCCGAAATCAAAACAAAATTGAACTTTATTCACTTAAATTATGAATTAATATTCATGATTGTTCATAACTATACGTGTGTGTGTGTGTGTATATATTTGTACGTATGCATGAATATTATACATTCTCTTTTTTTTTTTTTAATCATTTGCATATTATATGGTAGACAACGTGTGAATGCATGCGCTATCATGATCAATGACTAGGTATGGTCTATGGAGGATCCTAGCAGGTAAAGCTATTATACATATACATATACATATATATATATATATATATATTCTCTATATGAGGATGGGAAGATACACACATAATAGCAAGGGTCATCGTCTTCTTTTTCAACATTTCTGTCTTCTGTGCATTTGTCGTCACCTTGTATATAAAGACATCAAACACACACACACACACACATCTACATGTATACACGCAGAGATTTGTAGGGTTTATTTACGTGTATATATATATATATATATGTATATTTATATGTATATATGTATATGTGCTCTTTAATGCATGAGACATTGACATTCTTTCAGGTGTGGTTTTGAATTAGCTACTTGGACAATTCAATACCACTCACTTCATTAGGACATAAGTAAGCTATCTAGTACTCCTTTCACTTCACAAATACACTGGATAAGCATATATACACACACACACACACACACGTATATATATATATATATAATAAAACATATATTATCTCATTTGATCTCATCTGACTAATCACTTTTAATGATTTGATTAACATTATCTCAACTTATCCAAACCCTTAAGAGAAGCTACTAAAAGATTATATCCACTAATCCCAGATTATCAAAGATTTAAGTTATTATTATTACAAATTAAAATTAATACTTATTACGACTTGGTTCCCAATGTTTTGTCAAACCCTCATTTACTTATATATCATCATAAATACATATACGATATATAGAGTATGTACTGAAAGATACATACATACATATATACATACGTGTGTGTGTGAAATTAATTAAATACAATCGTACTTCCCGGCAAAGTTCCATGTTGGCAGCTGTTATTTGATAGTCTTCATAAATTGGTGGGGTTTGAGTAAAATTATTTTTAATTATATAAAGTAGGAAAATAATTGTAATATTTATATAAACTTAAAATTGTAAATTAATTATTAATATATACAATTTTAAAAATATACATGCATTTAACCCTTTAAAAAATTGGGTAAATATACATTGAATTTATACTGTATTTTGCAAAAAAAAAAAATCATCATATCTTTCAATATATATATATATATATTAATTTATTTTATATAATATAATAATATTTTCCTTTTATAAGTCAATGTAAAAGTATAAAACCCAAAAAAATATAATATTGGTTTTAAAATGAATTATATATATTTAAATATTTAATATTTGTTTCTTTTAAAAAATAAAATAATTTCTATATATAAAAAAAAAAAACTATAAATCTTATGGGAGAAAATATAATTTTTTAAAAAATAATATATTAAAAACTGCAAGGCATATGGTGACCTGACCAATATGAGACAAAAATTAGGGAGACAGGGTACAGAACCCCAAAAAGAAGGGTTGACCGAGGTTGACCAGATTGACGGCGGAGATTCAACAAATCTGAATCTGGACCGGGTACGATTAGAAGTACCTGATTATTTCTCGGAATTTTATTTTACTATTTATTTAAAAAATTCCCCCCTTCCGAAAAAAAATAAAGAGGGGGAAATAATATATATATATATATATTTTTTTTTTGTGATCAACAAAAAAACACTGGCGCCCTTTTTTATACACAAGAAGCAGGAGCCAATTTTTTTGGTGTTTTGGCGGGTGGTTTTTAAGATAAAAAAGGTTAGAACGAAGGGTATTTTGGGTATTTCATAATCCCTGCGTTAGGGTTTCGCGTCCCATTTATAAATCGATTTTTAGATCTGCTACCTGCGTTGTGTGTGTCGGTTTGATGATTCTTCTCGCTAGATTGATTATCATACACACTCATCATCCACACTATTTTCACTGCCTCTCTCTCTCTCTCTTTCTCTCTCTGCATGTTATCGTCTTAACCCGAATATCCGAGCTCCTCCATTGACGATCTCTCTGTTTCTCTTTCTTTTTTCATCTGGGTCTGGTGTTTTTTTTTTTTTTGGTTGCAAATTTGCTCGATCTCTCTGTGTTAATCCACCGGTTTTAGTCCGAACCCAACTCTGGTTTGAGCTTTTGGTGTCTGGGTTTGCTTTAGATTGTTGAAAAGCTCTCTCTATAATGCTGGATCCGAGCGAGAGAGTGAGTGTTCTGCTACGTTTGATCCTTCCGATCTCCTGTTTTAGCCGATCGGCGTTTTGATTCTGGTGTTTTTTTTTTTTTTCATTTACAGGGATTAGATTCTGAAGAAATGAAAAGGAAATATTCATCCGGTGTTTCATCAGACGAGAGCCAAGGGAGCAGCCACAATAATAACAGCCACAACGAGACCAAGAAAACCTGCGCCGATTGCGGCACCAGCAAGACGCCTCTCTGGCGCGGCGGCCCAGCCGGTCCCAAGGTGATTTCTCCGTCGATCCGGAGTAAACTCGTACCACGATCAATCGTGGATTTTACCCGACCCTCCGATCTGATCTGGGTTTTTTCTCAATTTCTTTCTTTTCAGTCTCTCTGCAACGCTTGCGGGATCAGAAGCAGGAAGAAGCGAAGAGCCGTAATCGGCGGAGGATCGGAGAAAAAACCAAAAAGAGCGGGGAACAGTAACGATTCTTTGAACGAGAGATTGTTAGCTTTGGGAAGAGAGGTTTTGATGCAGAGATCGACGGTGGAGAAACAGAGGAGGAAGCTCGGAGAAGAAGAGCAAGCGGCCGTACTGTTAATGGCTCTGTCTTATGGGTCGGTCTATGCTTAATCACAAGTGATTATATTCATAATAAACGAAGAAGTTGTAATGACCTAACCATTTTTATGTGTATTTTTGGGTAATTTTTGCCTTTAGTTTATTTAGCTAACTCTGTATTTTGGGTATGGTGGGGAAATTTGTAAGATGATGTGGGAGATTGATTTTATTTTTCCTAACATAGTAGAAAAAAATCATGATTGTCCCCCTTTTTCTTTTATATATATATATATATATATATGTTCTTAAAGTTTTAATTTTTATATTGAATGTGTGGTGTGGATGGGTTCGTGATAGGCCTAAGAAGAAAATGCCAACTTCTCAATTTGCCTATTATCCCAAAAAAAAAAGTTCAAAACTTTGAAAAGGGCAAAATCAAAAGAAGAAAAATGATATTTCATTTGTACCCCTTTGTAGATTTTATATATATATATATATATATACATACATACATTAAATAATATGGGAAAAATAATTTTAATACTAAAATTTAAATTTATTACAATTATTTTAAATAATATATTCTTTTTTTCTTTGATTCTATTATTCGTAGCTAAGAATTGACCTCTCCATTTTTTGACTTCCCCACTACCAATTTTTTTTTCGTAACTTATTAATAAAAATATTTTTGGGTCTATAAATTTAATTCCTTTTTAAATTATCTAGCTTTTAATGTAGTCGAACTTTAGATATATATATACATATATGTATATATAAAAATTGGTGCATTCCAAAAACTTCAAAGTGTGAAATATGTATTCAATTTTTTGAAAAAAGAAATGGGTTCACTTAAAAATAGAGTTTTTAAAAAAAAAAAAAAAATTGCAAAGAAGATTAACCCATAAATTATCAACTTAATTAGGGGGTTAATAATAATTTAATTAATGATTCCAAGTAGTGTTAACATTCTACATTTCTATCATTTGCTTCATTAAAAATCCATTAATCACTATTTGCAAAGCAAATTATATTATTTATTACTAATTATTAGTGGGTTTAGTTAAAAGACAACTAACACAATCATACTTCTTTGGACTACATTCAAAGAGAGCCAATTATAATTATATGTAATACGTACATATATATATATATACATATTATGGGAAATTATTAAATGTATTAAAAAAATTTATTTAAATTAATACATTAATTATCCTCTATTAAAAAAAAAAAATTGAATCACAATAACTTATAAATTTTTGTACATTTGTCTATGTATGATTGTTTTAAAAATTAATTCGTAAATTATATTTATTATATAACAAGGAAATAGATTCGAATATAATTATACCAAAATTTTGAATGATTTAATTAAAGGGTAACGTAATTGAGAGAAATATTCAGAAGAAATATATATATATGTAAAATTTTATGCACGATACTAATGAGGAAAGTGTTGTTTGGGAATGGGAAAGTTTTTATCCAATAAGTGGATAAATGATTAACATCAAAAAGGGAATTGTGTACGTGGCTATGAACACTCAATCAGCCGCCTTTACGGCACCCAAATCCTATTCCTCCCCCCCCGCTCCCTATAACTATCACCACGTGCGCATCATGCCATTTTAATTTGAATATAACATATATATATATATATGTATATGTAATTTTGTATATGATTATTAAAGTTGTAGTCTATTTATATATTTCAAATTATAATCTATATACTTATAATATAATTTTAAAAAATTTATACCTTTCTACTTCATTTTTTTACAATCTATTATTTTTATATTTCAATATTTTATTATCTCTGAAATTGTTCAAAATTAATTATAAATAATTTTCTTCATTCATTCTCGAATGATATTCTTATTAAATATAATCACATAAAAAATAAAATACTTTTAGCATTCATCGATGTAGAATCGAACCAAACTGAATCAGATCGAGAATCGATTAGGGTTGGAGCGTGTACTGAAAAGGGAATCAACGTTTATCGGTCGACTCCTATATAGACTCGAGATTATCCGATTAGGGTTGGAGTGTGTACTGAAAAGGGAATCAACATTTATCGGTCGACTCCTATATAGGCTCGAGATTACCCTAACGAAGTCGTCTGTGTTGAGGTTAAACCAATATTATTATACGAGAGAGGCCGAAAATTCGATGTAAACCAAATAGCATTACTTCTTTTACCCTTAGAAGTCTTATTGAGGGTGAATGGAGCCCATCATGAAACTTAAGCTTGGCCCAAATTAACTCTTAATTAGTTGAATAAGACTAGGCTTTTCCAATCAATATTTATAAATGGCCCATTCTTTTGCATATATATACTTGAAGATGGGAGAAGACATTAACATATATATATATATATATATATATATATATATAGATACTTCTTTCATTTTAAAAAATCTCATGTAATTTAAAATAAAAATATTTTCCACCTCATTTCACTTTTTTTTATTACTACCATACACCGACTCACTTATATAGTTATAAAGATCATGTAACGAATACAAACAATCCAGTAATTTAACGGTTAATTGTATTGTTTTCATTTGAATGTCACAAGTTTAAAATTTAATAAACAAACTTGAGTTTTTGAGTATGAAGATAATTAACCGAAACTCTAGTATCATATGAGAAAAGACAAAAGACATCAACAATCATTATCTGTAGACAGAAAAACAAGTATTTCATCATATTACTTATACATCAAAGTTTAAAATTTAATAAATAGACTTGAATTTTTGAGTTTGAAGATAATTACCCGAAACTCTAGTATCATATAAGAGAAAATAAAAGACATCAACAATCATTCTCTATAGACAGAAAAACAAGTATTTTATCATATTACTTATACATCAAAGTTTAAAATTTAATAAACAGACTTGAGTTTTTGAGTCTGAAGGTAATTACCCGAAACTCTTGTACCATATGAGAGAAAACAAAAGACATCAACAATCATTCTCTATAGACAAAAAAAATAAGTATTTTATCATATTACTTATACATCAAAGTTTAAAATTTAATAAACAGACTTGAGTTTTTTAATCTGAAGGTAATTACCCGAAACTCTAGTACCATATGAGAGAAAACAAAAGACATCAACAATCATTCTAAGTATTTTATCATATTACTTATACATCAAAGTTTAAAATTTAATAAACAGACTTTAGTTTTTGAGTCTGAAGGTAATTACCCGAAACTCTAGTACCATCTGAGAGAAAATAAAAGACATCAACAATCATTATCTGTAGACAGAAAAATAAGTATTTTATCATATTACTTATACATCAAAGTTTAAAATTTAATAAACAGACTTGAGTTTTTGAGTGTGAAGGTAATTACGCGAAACTCTAGTACCATATGAGAGAAAATAAAAGACATCAACAATCATTCTCTGTTGACAGAAAAATAAGTATTTTATCATATTACTTATACATCAAAGTTTAAAATTTAATAAACAGACTTGAGTTTTTGAGTCTGAAGGTAATTACCCGAAACTCTAGTACCATATGAGAGAAAACAAAAGACATCAACAATCATTATCTGTTGACAGAAAAATAAGTATTTTATCATATTACTTATACATCAAAGTTTAAAATTTAATAAATAGACTTGAGTTTTTAAGTCTGAAGGTAATTACCCGAAACTCTAGTACCATATGAGAGAAAACAAAAGACATCAACAATCATTCTCTGTTGACAGAAAAATAAGTATTTTATCATATTACTTATACATCAAAGTTTAAAATTTAATAAACAGACTTGAATTTTTGAGTCTGAAGGTAATTACCCGAAACTCTAGTACCATATGAGAGAAAACAAAAGACATCAACAATCATTCTCTGTAAACAGAAAAATAAGTATTTTATCATATTACTTATACATCAAAGTTTAAAAATTAATAAACAGACTTTAGTTTTTGAGTGTGAAGGTAATTACGTGAAACTCTAGTACCATTTGAGAGAAAACAAAAGACATAAAAAATCATTATCTGTTGACAGAAAAACAAGTATTTTATCATATTATTTATACATCAGCATTAATTAGTCATAATATTTTTCTAACAAATAAAAACGTAAAATTTATCATTTTGTGAATTGATAATAATTAATTACGATACATAATTTAATAAGACTTAAAACTTATATCATTATTATAGTAGTAGGAGTACAATAATTAAATTATACTTTATAGTAATGAGTTTGTTATATTATTTTACGAATAAAACATTACGTAACGATTAAATTTTTTTAATCGAGATAGTTATAACCTTTTTATTAAAAAACATTACGTAAAAATACGGAATAAGCTTTTCTTAGAAGGGCTTGTAGAGAAGAGAAATCCAATTTTAATGGCCGCCGCCGCCGCCGCCGCCAACGCCACCACCACCACCACCACCATTAATTCAATTCAGACCACATTAACATCTCTTACCTACTCATTAATGTACTGAATCCCACCACCTGCCTCTCACTTTATTTTTCTCTCATTTTTATTTTTTTTAAAAAATATTTTATATGTATAATTATATTATATTATATTATATTGTATTTTCCATTATTTTTAAGTTAATCATAAAATTATTCTTAATTTGCATGTTTAACGATAACTAGTAAAAAAATAATTATAAATTAGTAATAAAATATTTTTTAAAAAAATGTATGTTGTATAAATTCAATATACAAAAAATAAATAAATAAATAAAGGAGTTGTATTATTATGTGTGTTCATAGGATGCCTTGCCTACTTGGGTGGACCCCACCAGCATCCCATCACACACAACAATGTGTGTATGTGGATTACAGCTAATTATTTCTCCGCTATCTTTTTTTCCTCCACATAAATTATTATTATTATTTTTTATCTTTATTCAAAAATTAAATAGGATTAATTTATTTTCTTACAAAAAAATTGTAGTAACACTTTCATAATTAGTATTATTAATATAAAAAAATTATTATATTTTTTAATTGATAAAATTTCTTTTTATTCTATAAATTGGCATTTAAATTTAGATATCTTTTTATTAAAAAAATATCAAGTCAAAATTTGTACACAATATTTATTTTATTTTTTATAATGTAAAAATTTTATTAAAAAATATTGACGATACGGGTAAAAAAAATTAATAAATAAATTAGTATTTTTTTTACCATTTAACTAATCATAAGAAGGAATTAAGTAAATTATCTAGAATTAAAAATGATTAAATTATTTTACTTTGATATATATATATATATATATGTGAGGCAAATGCAATTTATGGCTCAAGCAAAACGACGTTGTTTTGGGTGGCTTCTTTTTCTTTTTTTTTTTTTAATTTGTAAATTCTAATATTTTAATTTAGAAAAAAAAGGACAAGGCGACTTTTTTGAATCACATGGGAAAGAATTATGGAGAAAAGGCAAGAAGAGTTAAAAGCATATGGAAAAGCCAACCCCCCACCCACCCCGGCACTCTCTCTCTTTATAAACTGTTTAATTAATCATATCGATAATCATGTTTAGGAATATTAATTATAATTATATCTCTAAATTATTGTGATTAGTATAATAATTATTTTCACGTTACTCTAGAGTTGAATTTCTAACTTCTGTTTCTAAAAAGGGTAAAAGAAATTATCTTAGAATAGAGAGAGAGAGAGAGAGAGAGAGGAGCGGAATCTCGTAGTCAACGATTCGCTACGAGAAACCATACTATACCCAGATAGACCCCCACGGTCGGACCAGATGATCAGACGGTACAGATCTTTCTAGGGGCTGCTAATGAACTTAATTGTTTACCTACAACCATCCTTGGTGTACCTCGTTATCTTATATCCAATTAGATTATGCCACGTCATCACTAAATATATTTTATTTAGTATATTTGTGGGTAAATATAGCCGCCAGCACTGACTTTTATAAATAATGTGTAGTAATTTTTGTACGTATGGATAAATGGAATAATCTACCGCCAAAACAGTATAAACAGAAAATTAAAGTACTAATTTGGATAATTTGGATTCCAATAATTAATTAATTAATTATAATTAAACATTTAATATTGATTTAACAAAAATTACATACAAATTACCAATAAATTACAGATTATTAATATTATCATTATTTTTTTTTTTCTTCTTCCGCATCATCAGAATCAGAGACCAGAGAAAGAGAGAAGAAATAATTACTTAAAGAAGAAAATTTTCTCAAGAGAAACAGATGCCAACCTCTGTCCATAAAACGGTGTCGGATTGATCTTTTCTTCTTCTTCTTCTTCGGACAGGCATCAACCGTCATCAGCTCTCAATTCCTCTCTCTTTCCCTCTCCTCCGAATTCCCAGATCCGCTGATCTCCGTCAAACCAAACAGAGAACAACAGAGAACAGAACGGCAACGGCGTGACCCAGAAACTCTTTCCTAACGGAAGCGGCCGTGGAAGGAGAAGACGGAGGAGGGTTGTAATAGTAGAAAGGGAAGTACGGGACAATCGGGTTGGGAGGCGGTGGTGTAGGATAGTAATTTCCTTTGTTCGGCGGGGGATAATAATACACTCCTCCGCCGCCGCCTCCGCCAGAAGGTGGCGGGTAATTGTAGCTAGGCTGAGAGGGTGGCGGCGGCGAGTAATAATAAGAACTGGGCGGCGAAGGTGGTGGAGGGCAGATGTTGCTCGCCGGCGGAGGAGGCGACGGTTGAGGTGGAGGAGGAGGAGGAGGAGGAGATAGGTCTGGCTGGCATGGATTATCGCAGGAAGAGCACATTGTGCATGCGATCTGGTATTTTGATGGAGTCGCAGTCGCATTGGTTTCCGGGCGGGTGGATTCGGCTGTGGCGGGTGAGAGTACTGTAAGTTGAAGCATAAGGAAACAGAGAATGGAGAGTCTGGTTTTCTGGGTTGTCGCCATTTTTTGACGACGGAGCTTCTCCGTACCAGTGAAAACCAGTCAGTGTGTGTGTATATATATATATATATCTGCGTATGTATAAAGATCGAGAGATCTCAAGTGGGATGAGAACTAATCAAGAAAAAATTAACATTAAGAAACATAAAAATGGAATGAATTTCAGTTGTGTTGGAAAAGATTGAAGGAGATGAGTGCAGGGAAGGAGTGGAGAGAAGGAGAGGAGAGTGTGGGAGTGGGAGGTAAGAGGAGATTACTATTTTTGTTGCTGGGCGATTTAAATAATGGAATCTTTTTATTTATTTATTTATTATTTATTATTTTTAAAAGGTAGTGAATGAGCCGAAAATTCTTAAAGATGACACCGACACGTTTCACTTTTAACGGAAACGACGGAGGCACTTCCAAATACGCCCAATTCCGTCAATTCCGTTAATAAACTGGTTGAGTGGAATTACGAAGTTACCCCCAGATTTGTCACGTGTCGATTGGCAAATGGATGGTTGTTATTTTTCATTTTTATTTAAGCTTTTTAAATTAGCTAATTATATTTATTTAATTAATTTTTTAGATAATTTTAGGGTTGTCGTTGGAGTGAATAGCAAATAATAAATGGAAATGTACAGTCATGGTTGCGCGGCTTTACCAGAGAGTAGATGACTTACACGTGGAAGCACAAAACCCGTTGGATCATGTGATGACGTGGCAATTGCAGCGTAGACGTAAAGGAGACGCAAGTTCCACGTGGTGTTCGCCTTATTTACTTAATTATTTAATAAATGCGGTTTTTACTTTAAAAAATATGATAAATATAATTTGTTAGATTAGAGAGTTTTTTTTTTTTTTTT